GTAACCATTTGGGCTGACCTGGACATGGGGCCAAAGGCTCAGGATCTGCTCCAGCTCCTCTGCCTTTGCAGGGCAGCAGCAGAAGCATGTCCAGGTCCAGGGCCTGTCCTTCTCCCCCAGGGGCAGACCTGAGCAACTTTTGCACTACTGGGGCACTAACATGGCCCACGTTAACTGGTGCTGCTCACACAGGCTGGTCACACCTTGATCCCCTCACCTCTGACCTACTCCCCCCTCTGATCTACCACTGCTCCCAGGCCTATTGCTACCACCAAGGGCCTGGACACTCCCTGCAGAACCCATCTGCACCCCTGCATGGCGCATCTCTGCTAGCATAGCTAAGACAGTCAAAAGCAACTCGCTGTGGAGGTTGATGAGTTCACTGTCTCCTTTATATAAAGGTGATGGGAAGATTTGTCTAAATAAATTAGCCATACACACCCCTATGCCCTACTGGGGGAATTGGGATGTCAGTCTGGCTTTGCTGGAAGGCTTCAGGACCCAAGTGGATGAAGCAGAAATGTTGGGTCTTTAACAGAGATATCCTTTCTCCCAAGAGTTTATTAGAGGGGAAACTGGAGAAAGATGGGAATTAACAGAAATAAACAGCCCAGAACTTTAGACAGTGCCACCAAGAGATGTCCCCTCCCAGCTGCTCAGGCATCACACTTTTGAGTCTCTAGTTGCTCTGGGGAAGGGGTGAGAGGGGTACAAGGACTGGCCCAAAGCAGAGGACTCCTCACTGGGCAAACAGTCCTTTTGTTTGCCAGATGGAAGTAAAAGGGCCTGAGCGAGCTGGACACTCTCCTCTGCAGGTCACCTTTAACATAGTGCATGATTTTGCCATCTAGGCTTACTTCATGCTGCAGGATAGAGCAAGAATAAGGTTTTGCTGTCCTGTTATAGCTTGAGAGCAACCCCAGTTCATTTCTGGAACAGATGTGAGGGGGTTCATCTCAGGGACTGATTCTGTTCTCTCTGACTTCACTGAACATCCCAAGCAGAAGATCCAATGCCCTTTAAGTGAATGAGTGTTCAGGCGATAGTAGGCAGCCAAACAGAACAGGCACAAGAAGGAATGTTCCTGTGCAATGCACTCGAACATGCGCAGCATAGGTACAGCTGACAGATAGAACACACACACGCACACACACACACAGGCACATACACACACACGCTCGCGCGCGTGCGGCAGGCCCAGTGACCCACAGCTTCAGTGGCACCACGTCAATCAGGCCCCTGCAGGCACTCAGACACAATGCTCAAAGACACATACTTGCTTATGCAGTTGCATGCACACACTAAGACATGTATCTCTGAATGCACTGATACACACACCATGCCACTCATCCAAGCAAGCTACTTGCCAGAGACATGTAGGGGCACACACACATGCACATACGCATGCAGATATTTATGCAGCAAATTCTCCACGTGCCGCTAGAAGCTGGCTCCCCTCCCCAAGCCTTGTTGCAGAAAGCTCGCTCCCTCCCTCCCTCCCTTGGAAGCCCATTTGCACCAGCTGAAGGTTGAGTTTCTCTCTGGACAATAGGGAAGCCAAGACAGGATTGTAACTGGATCGGAGGACAAATAAAGCTGCACAAATTTCCATTACCCACACCTCAGGCCTGTACGCAGCACAAAGTTGAGAGCAGGACCAGGACCCCTTGACTCAGAGCCCCACTCTCCATTCTGGCCTCACAGCCCAGACTTCTTCAGACTCAAGCTCAGGGACAACCTGCTGTCCATTCAGCCCTGAACCCCTCCTCAGAGTCCCATTCCCTCTGCCCCTGCAGGCTTCCCAGGCACTGAGGAACTCTCTTCGCCCCCTCTCCTGGAGTTGAGTCCTTGCCCTGGCTCAGTTGGGCCTTGACAGTGACTTGTTTCCCTCTTGCTATCAAAGTCCTAAGGCCCTTGGCTTTCCCCAGCATGTTTGTGCGCCTGGCACTGAGTGCCGACAGAGCAAGGTACCAACACAAATCACCTAAGGAGAGCAAATGGAAAAGATTATGCGTTAGCCTGACATTAAGCATGAAAACCTGCCTCCTGCGGCAGGGGGAGGGAGGGGGTTGAGGGAGCAGGGTGCCAAAACTAGCACTGGGGAGCCACGCAGCTACTCTGGCCAAGGCGAGGGGGAAAGGGAACCTCCTCCAGGGAGCTGCACAGCTGAGTCTGGCTCCTGGAGGCATGAACTGCACTACAAAATAAATAATCCTGGAGTCAGACCGTCCCTGCATTCCCCCCCTCCATACACACACACCCACACACACGCTCGCTTCCCAAGTCTGACCAATTTACACACAGAGGCCTGTTCCTCATTGGCTGGCAGCTGCGGGAACTCTCCGGGGAGCACGTGCATTCAGTCACCAGCGCTCGCTGGCTGCTGCAAAAATAATGTCCATCTGAGAAGCTGCTGGGCTTGGGGGGGACTTGTTGCTGGGATCCATTAGCCAGCCATGAGGGGCACCTGTTGGCTCTGGCTGTGGCTGAGGGGACCCCAGCAAGGCATTAAGGAAAGAGGGTGGGCAGAGACCCCTGTCTGAGAAACAACCCCCCTCTGTGCTGGCTAAGAGTGGAGGACATATGAGCTGTGAGCAGACAGCTGATGTGCAAGTCCCTCTGTCAGCCTTGGGACTTGATCAGTAAGTGTTTGGGGGCAGCCAAGTCTGAACGAGCATGTGGCACTGGGGGAAGGGGTGCAGTGAGGGGCCCTGGCAGAGCTGGGAAAGCCCAGCACAGGGAGGACTGCACGTCAGGTCAGCAGAGCTGTGTGGGGACTTGAGCCTGTGCTACAAGGGGAGCCACATGTTAGAGCATGGGTGCCAGTCCAGGTGGCGCATGCATGGGGCAGGGGGGGAAACATGCCCAGCACTTGCCCCCCTGCCCCCTCCCAGCACCGCTAGTTCCTCTTGACACCAGCACAACAGTCACCCTCTGGTCCTGCTGACACCACTGCCCATCAGACCACATTACCTTGTGGGCAGAGCCCAGATCAGCTCTGACTGCATGCCATTCCTTCAGAGTGGGTGGCCAGGGTGCCAAACACCCCAGTGTTCCCAACCTGCCAATGCCCGTCCTTAACCCCATTCAGAGCTCAGCTGGTGCAGACCCCTCGCCTGTCTAACCCCTCTCCCATCCCAGCTCTGGCTGGGCTGAAGAGTACAAATGTCCCCTCTGCAGCTGCTTTAACCCCTCCACTTCCTCCAAACAGTGCCAGGCTCAGTTGAAATAGCACATCCAGGGTTTATTGTTTTTTCCATTCCTTGCAGCTAATGATTAAAAAATTTTTTTTTCTAAAATAAATTACAGAATTAAATAAACATGAACTGGATTATTTCCCTCCTGCCCCTCAAAGAAAGCATGAAAACAGTCACTGAATTTGCCAACAGCAATGAGACCATCTCAAGGAAAAGCAGCTACTTGTTCAGTTTGAGCAGGTATCAGCCCTTGGGCCTTGACTCACTGCCTGGAAGTTCCCTTCAGGTCCCACAGACCTCGTATCCCACAAACCAGCTTGCACTCACCCCCTTGCAGTTCACTCTCAGCTCCTCTCGCCCTCCTTTCCCCCCTGGCTCTTCCATTCACCTCTTGTGTGAATAGCCTGTTGCCGAGTTAACCCTGTCCTGCAGCTGAGAGGCTCCTGACCAAAACAGCTGGGCATGCACTCAGCAGTCCCAGGAGGCCCACTCCATTCCCTCCTAGTCCCTTACTCGTGACAGACTCCCTGCGGCTTGCCAGAGAGAGACCCTGTGCTAGACATGCGTTGGATTGTCCAGGTAAGGATCTGTCTTGGTCATGTGTAGCATGACTGTTGGGGCTTTGTAATGGCAGTGTGCCCCCGTGCAAGTGACCCCGCTGCATGGCTTCCCCCTAGTCCTCATCCCCAGTTTTCTGTTGCACAGGCTCTGCCAGGTCTGCAGAGTCTTGGAGCTCCACACCCAGACGCCACTGGTGATCCCCACCACCAGCGACATAAAAATCTTTAGCATAAAGACTGCCACGGTGGGCACAGAGGCTTCCAAGGAGCAGTCGGCATTCCTCCTGCCGGGAAAGGCCAGGCAGCCGTGCTCCAGGGCCCTGAGGTTCCAGTAATCCATGTTCAGCCGCTCGTAGAAGTAGCAGACAATGACACAAGTGGCTGGGACGGTGTAGAGGATGGAGAAGACCCCAATCTTTACCATCAGTTTCTCCAGTTTCTCGGTGTTGGTGCCTCCCGTCTTCATGATCTTCCGGATATGGAAGAGGGCAACAAAGCCTGTGAGGATGAAGGAGGTCCCGATCACCAAGTAGCAGGAGAGTGGGATTAGAACAAACCCTGTCAAGGCATTGACATCCATGCTTCCGACATAGCACAGACCCGTGAGCTCGTCGCCTGCCACCTTCCTCATGGTAAGGATGATGATAGTTTTCATGGCCGGGATGCCCCAGGCGGCCATGTGGAAGTAGCTGCTGTGGGCTTCAATGGCCTCGTGGCCCCATTTCTTCCCCGCCGCAAGGAACCAGGTCAAGGTCAGAATGACCCACCAGAGAGAGCTGGCCATGCCGAAGTAGTAGAGAATAAGGAAGACGATGGTGCACCCCGTGCTCTCCAGCCCCTCCTGTATGACGTACAGCTCCCCATTCTCCCGGTCACAGGCAATGTTCTCGGCGCCAGCCACAGAGCGGATGATGAAGGCCACCGAGTACACATTGTAGCACATGGAAAGGAAGATGATGGGTCTCTCGGGGTACTGGAACCGGCGCGGGTCCAGCAGGAAGGTGAGCACTGTGAAAGCCGTGGAGACAAAACACAGCGTGGACCACACTGCCATCCATATGAAGGCAAAGTCCTTGTCCTCCCGGGACCAGTAGACGTCGACTCCGGGGGAGCATTTTGGGGCACAGGACAGACTTTTCTCCACGTACTGGAACTTCTCGGGGTTATCGCACGACCCCAGGCCGTTGGGCCCCCGGCCCTCCCCTGCCCCCGACGGCCGGGGCCGTGGCGCCACCGGGAGCATGCCCTGCCCTTTGTGGGGCTCCCCAGCCGTCGCGTTCTCCGGCGCCTCCATGCACAGGGCGTTGGGGTCGTTCTTGGTGGGCAGCTTGCTGCAGTCCAGGGACTCTGGCCAGCCGAAGTTGAACTGCTCCATGATGGGCGCGCACTTGTGCCGGGCTTGCTCGCACATGGGCTTGCAGGCCGGGATGCTGGTGCTCACCTGGTCCGTGCACATGGGGGCGTAGAGGGAGCAGAGGAAGAAGCGCAGGTGGACGTGGCAGCCGTACTCCACCAGCGGCGCGAACTCGTGCAGCTTGATGGCCGCCTCGCGCTGGTCCTCGTGCCCCATGTAGTTGGGCATGCGGGTGAGGTTGTAGCCGATGGCCTGGCACATGGGGATCTGGATGGGCTGGCACTTGGCCTCGCGGCCCCGCTCCACGTCGTAGGCGCCGATCTCCAGCGAGGAGCCGGCCACCACCAGCTGCCACAGCACGGACACGGCCGCCCGCAGCGC